CACAAAATTACTCATCTAGAGATCTATCCTCAATAACTCTTCGTAACAAGAGGATAAACATAAACGAGTAATTCTTGAAACAATCAACACATAAGATATACTATTGCAAACAAGCTTACTCCTAACGAGCCTAGGTCGAACGATTTCTCCCTTTTCAGTTTAAAATCAATTAATTAGATTAAGATGGTGATCAAACATCAAAACCCTAGGCTAAGCACAACTCGAGAGGATTGAGCAATTATAATGCATATAAACGAAATCGAACCGGGACGATCTTCCCCTGACCCTAGCTAATGGATTTAGCTACTCATCATGCATTCAACATCAAAATATTCAATAATCAAAGCCATCTCAATCAAAAGAAAACGAAAGTAAAGCTTACGATTAATGAATCAAAAGTCGAGAAAAATAACGAGCAATCCAAGATCCAAAGCTAGAAAAGGAGTTTTTATGCTCCAAAATCCAATTCAAGATGAAACCAAGTGAAAAATATGTTCTCCAGATGAAAAGACAAAAAAAACGAAGTCAGAATATGTCCCCAAATCTCCCTAGGTTCGATCATAAGCCTCCTCCTTTTGAAATCACGAGAAAATGACAGCAGTTACAAACTGGACCTTAGCGGCGCTAAGGGGTTAGCGCCGCTAAGCCATGTTAGCTGCCCGGTTCAGTCCGCGAACAAACCAAAAGCGCCGCTTTCCATAGGAGCCTTAGCGGCACTAAGGTCCTGTTGGTCCAAAAATCTGCCTCTTTTTCTTCAGCTTGCATGCTCGGCTACGTTGCTCGGGTACTGTCCGAGCTGAAAACTTAAATTCTCGCATGCTTGGGTCCTATCAAATGCTGCTCGAACCATCCACTTCTCATCACGAATGGACACTCGTTAGCCCGATCAAACTAACACCTGAAATCGCACCACCGGAAAAACACGAAAAACAGAAAAAATAGGAAAAAAAAGCAACGGAAAAACTATACAACCTAAAATGAAGATAAAAGCATAATAAATGACTAGACGGACCGAAAAGACCTAAGAAAAGACCTAAAACGGGGGAAACAAAACACAAAATAGCAACAAAATTAGCAACAAAAACGTGACAAACAACTCCCCCAGACTAAGATCTTTGTTCGTCCCGAACAAAGAAAAGAAAAGAGAACAAAAGAAAGCAAATAAACGAGCAAGAACAACGGTTCAAGCAAGACCAATCTTAAACCAATCAATCAAGTCACGAAGAATTCAAATGATCACGAGAACACACATCGACCATGAACTCAGTTATTTCGAATGACAAAGACTCTCGAGTACGAAGATATATCATATGCCTCACTCAGTTTCTTTTGTAAATATAAAAGAGGTGCACTCAAGTTGGTTATCAATCAATCATTCATAGATTTGCCAATCGTCCAACTTCTACTCTAAAATAATCGAAAACGTGAAACAATGAATCAAGAGAACTTCTCGGGTTGTAATGTAGGCTCTTTGGATCGGTAGGATACATATAGGCTAAGTGGCTAGATAAAAACAACTTCAACTCAATTCTGTCACCCAACCGTGATCGTGAACACCTCCGG